GAAATTGATTTTGAATGAAATTATAGACAAAAATTTTGGTTATGTATTGTTGCTTTTCAGCAAAAGAGCTCAATCTACCTACCAAAATAGATACAAAAATGATTGTACAACAATCTGAACAACAGAAATATACAAAAGCGCAAAGTAAAATAAGCGGTAAAACTGAAAAATCGAGATACCTAATTGCAAAACTGCAGAAAGCTCGTCCATTGATCCATGTTAATCACCTTATAATCATTCTGAATCTAATGAAAAATCAAGTCCAAACATCACAAATCAAATCATTGCATAGCATTACAATTAAGGTGTTGATCATGATCCACAAGATCAAGATGCATTTCTCTAAAGAGTAATGCTATTCATAAATGGATTGCTTACCAATTTCTTACTAGACACCAAGGCAATGGGCCTACATGTATTTATTAATAGAGGCCCCACTACCTTCATATCTAGTGATAAGAAATCCATTGTATAGTGTTATTCGGTTAGTTATTGTCAATGTCATTACATCATATTTTTAGTTTTACAAAACTCATCAACAATAAATTTCCACATATGTACTCTAATATGCATAATATCATAAATTTGCAATAATAACATCACAAGCAATTCAAACTTGTCGAATTACATATACAACAAACTCTTTAATATATTATTAATTCAACAAAACTACAGAGACGGTGAGAATGTGCCATTTTCAATTAATCGAACAGGGATAGTGAGACAAATACAAAATGAATAATCTCATAGACCCAAAAATAAAATTCAAAAGTTGTTTTGTAAACACCTAAGAATCATGAGGGTAGAAAGAAATAAGTGCTGCCCACCTTTAAATACTTGGTGAATAAGGCAACCTGGGACGGAAATTGGGACCCCATAACAATATCTGGCAATTCACAGATGCATTCAACATCTATCCATTTTTGCTTATCTTCTGAAAGAGGGAAAAAAATTGCATCAAAATTAAAAATAAATAAATGATAAAAATTTAAATCGAACTAAAAACTGAAACAAGATAATGTCATGAAACAATGGGGTGCACTTCCATTCACTTAAAAACGTGCTTGACAAGTCTAAAAGCTCACCTGTTAGGCAGTATTGAAATGCAAAATTCTATCTGCAAAATTTTGAGGCATCCTAACCTTTTCAGAAAACAGTACGCGATCAGTAATAGCACTATTAAGAAGTCTTCATCATCATGGAATCATCAATAATCAACCAGATGACAACTACAAGAATAAAATACCTCATTCTCTAGTTCCGAGAGTGCATTCTTCAATTTATTTACAGTGTCAACAGTGAGAGCTTTCAGGCCTCTTTTCCACTCATCCTGTTACAAAGAAGGAAATTTAAACTATCAATTTTAAGAGTATTTTCTAACTGGATTTTCATCCATCTCCAGAACAGAAATATAATAGAATACTCAAGAAAAGTGATAACGAAGACTAGTCCTTCCATGGGTACACAAACAAGATAATTACACAGAGCAGAAACATAATTACACAGAGCAGAAACATTACAGCATAAAACTAGTCGACCAATTGAACACTTCATAAGTGGGCAGTTATCAACAAATAAATATCTAGAACAGAGAAAAAAGGTATGACATCAAGAATTAAATTCAATGCAAATCAAGTTCCACATTTTGAAATATCCATGCCAAGTTGACCATCCACATTTGCACCAACTGGATTGGGGTCCCCTGCCGGAAGCCATATAACATAAACCACTGTGGAGACAGCTCAAGTACAAGCCGCTTCAAGTAGGGCCCTCGGATTTTACCCCTTGGCCTTATTTTTTGCAATTTTTTTACTCCAAAACCTGCCGGGACTGGGAATGAGTCAAATAGGTCAATTTTGTGAAATAAAAACTAATGGCTCATGCAGTATATATCTATTATGAGTCTGTAGTCATCTCTGCATAGAAAAACAAAATACATTTAGAAGAATTAGTGTATGTTGTATTTATTTATCATCTTTAAATGATATATTCATATATGTAACATAATATATATATATATATAGATATATATATCATATGCTTTTTGTGTCCCTCACTTATCGTGTCATGCATTTTTTTAAAATCAGTATGTCCATGTTGTATCTATGTTGCATGTGTAAACATAACATGTGTTGTGTGGAGCAATTGGAAACAAACCATTCATTTGGATTATAGGTTTTCAGATTTCAATATATCAGAACAACCAAAAAGTAACACGTGATTCACCAGTTAAAACTTGACATCTATGAACTATTTACAAGCAATATTTCCTACAAGTATGGAAATCAGTTTCACATCATCCAACCAAAATCTAGCCCAAATTCTGCCTTAACATCTCTCTATATCAAATAATACCTTTCTAGGCTCAGACTTCTAAACAGGAGTAGTGATCAATCTATTCTCACCATTATGAAACATGAAACCAACCATCATGGGTGTCCAACATAGCAGAAATTGAAAAATAAAGCATTGGTTTCACATTATAGATGAACAAATTAAGAGTAGACTTTCCTACTGTGAATTACGAAAAGCTATGAGTTATGAATCAATAAATTTAAGCATTAAACAATTTTGAACATTCAATGGTTATTGATATTTGCATTAATAAAATAGTTTAAGATTGTGAACTAATACAAAATATACTTAATCATGCCGAATGACCTATTTGCTTATGAATGGAAAAGATCATCTATAGGTTCCTCCTTCTTCATTGTAGCTTTGTTTGAAGCTGAACAACATAATAGCATATGAAAAGAACATTAGGTGATAAAAGTTAAAATTAGTGCAAAATTAGAATATGTTCAATAAGAACTTTTTTTCCATTAATAAATTGCAATTGGATACAGAAAATTTTAACCACTTAATACAAAAAAAAATTCTTTACAGCTCAGCACATTCAAGGTTCATGGGTAGAGGAATATGCCTTACATCCAAACAACAATTAAAAACTAGTTCATCAGAAGTCACATTATAATGAAGTTGGTAATCACTAATAGTAGTCATACTTTGCATGCAATTGATATCTTAAATATCTCTACTCTTTGCACTCTGCCCATTTGGCTTTATACCAAAAGGAAAAAGTTAGTTGTTCATGCATTTCTCAAAACTTGCATTTGATATGTTCATCACAAAGTAACTTGGTCCAAACAGTCATAGTCAAGCCACTGCTACTAAGCCTACTATAAATATAGGAGAATCAATGGATAAGTGTGACAACTGGACAATGATAGTAGTTTGATCACATGGACTTAAGTACAAGTATTGGGTGTGGATGTGGGTGTGTCCAAGGGTTAATACTTCCCTAAACCCTAAATCTTAAGATATAGGCTGATGCATCTATTTATAGATTTTTAGGCAACCTTTGGGCAACAGACATTAACTCTTACACAGAGTTGTGTCATCTCTTGTAACAGTTTGTTTGTGTCTATTGTGTTTGTGTTTGAATTTAACTAAACTCAAATACAAGACAGCCTACGTGGGAAGTTTCTCACCATCCCAAGGGTAGTGATAGGATGTAGGAGGGTGCACCATTCTGGTGTGATCACTTGTATTCTATTAACATGGACATGTCCTAAACATTTAATTATATTGTAATGGTATAATATTATGACAGAAGACACAATTATTATTTAGGAATCTACTTACAATTAAATGGAATTTAGTGGGGAAATTCTTCCATCCATAGAAGATGTTAGAAATTTTTCTTTTCTTTCAAATGTGAGCTTCTACTTCTTTTTTAAATATCGTAAAAAATAATAGCAATTCTTTACGATAATGGAGGGCTGATCACATCCAATTTCAAGGTTCCAAAATAAGAGCAAATATCAATGAACATGAACTAAGATAATGAAAAAGAACATGACCATCTTTATTAAACTGCAAAAGAAAGATTGTAATGGTTGTCCTGGGTTTTCATTAGTCATCAAGGCAGTCTCTTCAACACATGGAACTTGTGCAATCTTTTATTTTCAAACCCAATATTAACAGTCTTTTCGCCAATGAAAGAAATTCAAAGAATTAGTTGACTGTCACTACAAAAGCGTCCTGCCGAAGTCAACAGAAAAGTACCCAACAGAGACTACTAAATTTACAGTAATTTAATTCCTATACGAAATAGTAAGGCAAGGTCTTCATATGCATATAGTCTTAACCTTCAGTCTACCAGTTCCGCAGGCAAGTCCAAAGAGATGTCACTTACAAGAGGCTTCAACCTAACTGTTCTACAACGGATACCAAAAGTAAGCAGAGTGTGGCTGTTAACACTTTAATTGCAACAACAATCATTCTTCCACTTCGCATCAAGTCCAGATACAAAAATAAACAGAACCAAAGTTTACAGAGGTCACCCGACATAAGTGAGGAAGTCTAAAGTTCTACCATTCACCACACTATACACCATCAAACAACAAAGTAAAAATTTTCTTTTTTCAAAGATACTGTGTAATTATGATTCATCATCATAAAAGGAGGTTATGAGCTCATATTTTCGTCCAATAGAATATTTGCGAAGCTTCTTTGTACCCTCGTTTCTTTCAGTTAAGAGCCACAAGGGGCAATGCTAGCACAATCCACCAAAAAGCATGCTTACTAACAAAAAAGAAATCGAATATAAGAAAAATTCCTACAAGTCACACAGTTCCTTTTGGTGGACTAATATTGAAATTCAATGCAACAAAAGACCCATTTTGAGAAACAAATCCCACACCCACTGGGGCTAGCCAATGGCCTCGGTAAGAACAAATCCCACTCCATATCATCACAAACTAATAATTACGGACCATGGAATGCCCATAACACTTTTTACAAGATTTCAAGAAAAAATTTCCACAGTATCATTGACCTAATTAAACTAAATAAATTTAGTCATTAAAAAATTAAAGGCCCAACAGTTTGACAAAAGCAGCCCAACACAGCAGTATTTTGAAAGGCCAACAGTTAAAGGCCCCTTTTTTCTAACAGTTAAGGGCCAATAGTTAAGGCCCAACAGCAATTTGAAAGGCCCCTTTTTTCTAATTCCTAACCCTACCTTCTCTTCATCCAAGCCAACAAAGCAACGAAGCAGCAGGCACACAACCAGAGCAGAGCACAGGGACGGAGCAGCAGCAAGCACAGGTAATTTTTTTTTTTAGCACACGGACACGGAGGGGAGCAGCAGCAAGCACGGGTAATTTTTTTTTTTCTATTCAATTAATTAAATATTTTTTTTGTCTTTTGCTCAATTAATTGCTATTATAATATTAGTATTTACATCATGAAAAAGAATTTGTTTAAGTTTAATAGTTCACATCACATAATTTAAAAGTTTTGTGTTGTGTTTTGTTCACATCATCACAGAATTAAATCTTTTGTCCTTTACCTTAAATTTTTTTTTTTCATTCAATGAAAAAAAAAATGTGAAGCCCCTGAAATTTAGTAGTTGATTATCGGCTTTCGGCCCTGGAAATCGCAGGCCAGGCCTGCAGAAAGCTTTGAGATTATCGTCGCCTGATTTGATCTGAATTTCATGTAAAATAAACAGAGTCAAGGTGCATGTAATGTACAAACCATCACAAAGAGTAATGGAAGAGCAAATATTGGGCCAGTTCATCTGTTAATCTCTCATTAGAATTTTGGTCTTTGCAACAAAAACACACACACACGCACACTTTATGCTTGCTATTCCATTGTCTTAGGCTCTGTTTGTATGCTATTTTGAAACTAATGTACGAGTAGTTGTATTAATGTTGGTGGTGGGGGGGTTGTGGTAGTGGTGGGGTGGCGGCGATAGTAGTGGTAGTGGCCATGCAGTGTGGTGGTGTTGGTAAGGTTTTAATTTGAAAAATATTTTTTGCCTTCTAGAAGTGGCTAAGTAAAAGAATTTTGGGAATGAAATGAATAAGGTTAAACGGAAATATTTTACTGAAAAAGGTCTCGCTTAAATTAATTAATTTTCATCTAAGGCCTCGTTTGGCAAGAGGCTATTTTAGCCAATTAGCCAAAAAGTTACTAAATTAGCCAAAAAGCCAACCACCCATACCAAAAAGTCAAAGATTCTCTTTTCTCTTTACTTTTTGCACATCTTTTCGTAATTAGTCAAAAAGTCATCCCAAACATACAAGTTTTTTTTACCTACCTTTTTAGCCAAATAGCCAAAAAGTTACTAAATTAGTCTGTTCCCAAACGAGGCCTAATTAAAATTTTGAAAATCCAGATCTGACAAGGTGTGGGGAAGAGGTGATGGAAGTAGCGAGGGAAAAAGGATGTGCAAGTGGTGGTGGGGAAATAGGTGTCAGATATGGACAATCACTTGTAAATCACGTGCATCAATTAGACTCAAGTGGTTTGTATCCTGTGAAAGTAAATGGAAAAATGACCCAATGTTTTTGACCTTTGAAGAATTTTTATTTATTTATTTATTTATTTTCAGACCTGTTCAAGTATAACCTTGAATTGGAGTCTCCTTGAGTGTTCTTATGAAGCAAGGACTGATGTAAGGCCCTAGACCTAATTGCCAACATCTATAAACTGGCATTTTCCAAAGCACATCACTTAAAATCTCATGTAGTTTGCTGTTTCCCAAGAAGTCACTCACTCTTCCTCATCATTTCCTCATACTCTCAAGTTCTTTTTCCTCTCTTCAATTTTGTTTCATTTTTCCCTTTTTGGCCCCTTAGTTATTGTATCGTAAGTTTTAAACCCTCATCTCTTAATGTAAGCTTCTCTCCTCAAGTCTCCAACAAGAGTATGTAACCATAGAATGAGCCTCTCATATGTTTATATAGACTCATTTTGTTTTGTGCTTTTGTCGATGCTACGAATTCAACACTATGATGTTCATTCTCAATTTGACCGCCATAGTACATGAACCTAAAGAAATCACGCCGCAGCGAGTGTCAAAGAAGCATATTATCAGCACACCTGAGTTAAAGAATGGTTGCTGTTAGGACCCATTAAAATGAGCCTCTGCAAGAAGAGACTGGCAACAGTGATTGCCATTGAAAGAATGGTTATAGTTAGCGCCCTAACCCAAAACTTCGAAGTTAAATCACTACTCATCTTCCATGCTTAATAGAGCATTGGAAAAACAATTCATGTTGTTGAAGAAGATCTGAAAGTGTTTTAGCATGACTAAGTTTGCAAGGTGATACAGAATACACATCAAAAGCTAAATCATCAATTTGTGAATAACACAATTAAATAAATAATAATAAATGAAATAAAAATTATAAATACATTCCCTGAGGTTTATGATAAATATAAATTCTTTTTTTCTTTTTTCTTTTTTGGTGGTTACAAAAATTACAATTATCCCCTTATCAGCCACTAGTGTTAACTGAGACTGTAAAAAATGTTGAGTCTCTTATATGTATAAAATAATTTAAAAAAAAACCTTTTTAATTAAAAATAAAATAAAATAGAGTTATGAATAAAATGGGTATATTGGAAAATAGAGCTTGTATTTCCACAATACATTATCTTTGTTCACACAATGTTTAAATTTTTTGTTCATAAATTGATATTTGAACAATATTATTTGATTTCCAAACCAAAGATACAGTTGAATCAAATACTTTTGTTTGAATGTTGATTTCTGAACTAAATAATTTTATTTGAAAGTTGATTTCCGAATAAAAAGATGTGTATAGTGAAAGGAAACCATGCGTAGAAATAGGCGGTTTCACATCATTCAATTCTGTTACCTCATAGTTGACTGATGAAGGGAGGAAATTGCAATGTCATACTAAACCTCAAGGGAATGGAATGTAACTTCCAGAATCACCGAATCAAGGAGAGGAATTTGTATTTTATACAAATATGAGGGAATATATTTCTAATTTATCAGGAGGGGGGAAATGATATTGCGCTGTACAAGTAGCAGCCTTTCTTTGACCAGGGAAGAACAACCAAGAAAAATAATCCAAACAAAAAGGAAAGCGAAAACAAAACATACAAGCAATGGGAAATGGTAATCAGAAAAGAAAGCAAAACAAAACAAAAACTCAACTTAACAAACAAAATAAAAAGAAAGGAAAATAAAATTAATCATTTTGACAAAAATGGAAAACAAAGGTTTCAGTCCTCATATATATGATAAACAATTCCGTTCTTCGCCCTCCCATTGCTTGTCAACTCGGACTAAACCCACAAAAATCAAAATAGACCGAGCGATTGATTTAGTCGAGCTCGACAAGCTGAGCTCTTCTCTCTGCAGCTTTCTTCCTTCTAAATATCCCCCATCTCAGAGCAGCTTTTAACTTAAGCCATCCTACAACAGCCTTTCCCGGAGTTCGTCCACGCTCTTGTCCATATGTCTGACCCAACTGATGCTCATGTGGGGCATTGTAAGAAAAACAAGCCTCGTCAGAATGCCCAAACGTAGATCCAATTCCCATGTTGAATGTCTTTAGTAGCCTCTGCATAGCATCACTCTCCAACATCTCCGAACTCCTTGATCGGATATCCTCAGAGAAGAAGTCTTCAAATCCGTGCCCATCCCTTGGCCTTGACCATTCTCCCGGAAGATAAGAACCACCAAAGGCCGACATTCCAACCGATCCATAATCCGCAGTGCCAGCTAACTCAGCTTGTGGGGTAGTTATCGCCATTCCCGCCACTGAATCAGACCTTATGAATGGAAATTCAATCAACTGAGAGTTTGAAAGGTTGTTTTTGGTTTGGCATTGTGGGCTTGGTTGAAAGGAGATACACTGCTGCTTGTTCTGGGTAGTTGTGACATGATTGTGTTCGGATATAGCGGAAGCTGAGGCTTTTGTTTCGTTCTTTCCAATGGATAGAGAGTTCAGGACTTCACCATCATATTCTACAGCTTGGTTCCAATTCTCATACGCTCTCTTCACCAGAGAATCCACAGAAATCTGTTAAAAAACATACAAATGAGTTGGCTTGTTTAACTAACTGAACTAGTCAAATTCGCTGTCTGACTGGCATTAACTTGACCAACTACCACAACGTTTTATACTATAATACTAGAAACAAAAGTCTATAACTCCTGGACACAAGCAAGTCGTTGGTCCATCTAACTCATGGACAAAAGCAAGTACTATTCCATCTCTGTTCAAAACATCCAAGCATCGCCTAATCTATGCGGAGACAAAACAAACGGCCAGTCCAAATTATAGGCCACGAGATAATCGATGCGGGGCTCTTTTAAATTCATTGCTCTTATTTGATTTGAGAACTTTGCTTTCCAATTTAGTCTTTTTTTTAAAAAAAATAAAAATTATTGATTGCGTTGCTTTTAATTTTCATTTGTGCCATAAATCTAATTTCAATGTCTATTTTTTTAATCTAATTTTTTTGTTGATTAAATTTTGTCATGCTTTTGTTTTGCTTGAAACAAATATTTTCTTCAGTTGTAATCTATCTCAGTTGAATTTCTCTTCTATTTAGATTAATTTTATAATCATGGTTGTTTTGTATATGAAAAGGAAAAAATAGAAAAACTAATTCAATTTAAATAAAATTAAGTAATTTCATTTAGCCCCATAGTTATTTTTTTTATTTTTTTTTTTGTAGTTTTATATAAAAGACCCCCATTTTAATGTTTGCCTTGGGCCTTGAAAAACTCAGGGCTGGCCCTAGTCACAAAACCCTACTAACAGGGGCCTAACCAATGAGAATGATGTAGGTGCATTACGCGGTATTGGCTTGAACCAAATTATATTTTTCCTCATCCTTATATTGGAGATCTTTTAAAATATGAATTGCAACTTTTATTTGCTCATTTGTTTGTTCAAATTTTTGTTTTTTTAATTTTTTTTATATGAGAACTCATGATATGATTATCAATACATGATGTCTATTAGATTTGTAGATGGGTCGAGCTAAACGAAGAATGGAACTCATAAGAAACGAAAAGGCTCGCTATGTAACCTATCAAAAGAGAAAGAAGGGCTTGAAGAAGAAGACTTGTGAACTAGAAACTCTATGTGATGTCCAAGTTTGCCGGATCATCTATGGACCTAAGTTGGTGATCATTCCACCGAGGTAGAAATATGGCCCCAAAATCCCAATGATATTCAACGCTTGATTGACACCTATAGAAACCAATCTATTGAAGATCGTCATAGGAGGACGCTTGATTTATCCAACTTTTTTGAGAACCGAAACCAAAAGATTGAAGACATGCTTGTCAAACTACGTAAGAAGAATGACAAGTCTTTGTACTCTATGTGGGATGATCATTACAAAGACTTGCCGGAGAGGCAGCTGAGAGCCTTTGAAGGTATGTTGGAGGGTAAGCTTGTAGATGTGAAGGCCAGGGTTGAATTCATGAAGGGAACTCGAGCATTGGCAAGTCTTAACGATATGGAACAAACCACTCAACAAAACCATTCTAATTATTTCATGCAAGGTTTGTTTGGTACTACAAGTTTGCAAATGGGGATTATCCATGAGGAGACGCCTATTTCTCCGTTGAATTCACTGTATAAAATTGATGACATCTCTCTTCATTACCCTTTTGATCAAACTGAACACCAGGGAATTGTTGAGCTTGATGCAAAATCCATGGCAATTAGTCCAATGATGATGCCAATGAACAACATTAATGACACTCATTACACTCAACTTGGTGGTATGTCTAGCAGCAACTTGCAGTGCATTGATCCACTAGAGAAGTTGATATATTATGATCCAATAATGTTGTTGCCCTCTCCAGAGTCAGTTTTAACAGGAGTCTCGTGCACTGAGTCGTCCTTTTCAATGTCTAGGATGATGGAGAACGAGGTTGGTAAAAATCATCATCCTTATTGTGGCGGTTCAAGCATGCAAACAATGTCACCATATATGCAGTACCTGAAGATGGCAAGTGGTCCATCTCAAGTTCATGCATGGCAGATGGAGGAGTACTATAAAGAAAATGAGTTTCAGATGAAGAACCAAAAGTGAATTCAATTCAGGTTTAAGTCATGGATTCTAATGGTACATTTGGTAGTAGAAACTAATTAATTAGTGTGGAAAGGGAAGTACCCAATTTTACTTTACTTTATTTTATTTTATTTTTAAATTTAGTGTTTTAATAGCTTAGGTCTCCGTAAGTTTAATTAATGACTATTTATATGGACTCATTAACCTTTTAAGTAGGGTTCTAAATTCTAATTGGTAAAGTAGTATTTATATATAATTAAACTAAATTGCATACAAGTACTTTTGCTAGCACTTTGGATGTGAATTAAGAGACTGTTGACAGTCAAATTCAAGTCGATTTCCTTCACTTCATTAATACCATGTCATATATATTGATCAAATGATTCGGTCAGGTAATAATTTTTTTTATTGGTGAAAGAATAATTTTTTATTCATGTAAAAAAATTTCAATTGTTGGATTGAGTCAATGTTTTAATTTGACCAATTGATAGGGCTGTAATGAGCTGGAATGAGCAAAGTTTTAAGTTGCTCATACTATTTTTTTAGTTTTGCAAATAAGGAACTTTTTGAGACACGGTTACGGGACTACTCTATAGAATAAATTTTAAATATATTCATACACTACCAACTATGTATATATATAAATAAGTCCAGACACATCATCAAGAAGGATTGTCTAAATGATTTGAATCTGCCATGCTTCACGAGGACCCTTGAAAAATCATGCATGAGGAAAATTATTAGGTAGTTTTGGAGTATCATGTGATGTCATCTATGTGGTGCTTGAGGTAAATGAAAAATTGTAACTTCACAAAATAGACAATATGTCACATAATATTTCCAAATACTTAATAATTACTCCAATAATTAACCATCAGGTGAATAAGATAAATTATTTAGTGGTATTAAAGCAGCGGTCAACGTCATTCATTGCATGACACTAATTGTGTTATTTTTCAAAAAACGTTACATAAAACAAATTAAGTCACATTATTTTAACTAATAAAAATTAAATTGTGACAACACATAATTTTTGGATGAATAGGTAGTTTTGATTGCAAATGAAGGATACATATGGGGGTGGGCGGCAAACATGGTTGTGATGCCTCTCGGGTGAGGTAACAAACTTGCAAAGCCAAGCCCATGGAGGAGGGAGCTTTTGACCACCTCATATGAGTTGTCCCCCTTTTTCAGTCCTTACTTTCTTCTTTCTTTTTCTTTTCCTTAAATTTTCATTGCATATTTGTATGTTAATAATTTAATATTTGTCCAACAAATCTAATTGATATTTTAAATTAATCGGTTTTTGGTTGTATTTCTGCTTTAGTTAAACCAATTCAGTTCATGATTTATTGGAAGTGATGATTTCTTGGTAGGGACTTTCATCTCTCCCATGACTAACTAGACTAGATGTTGAGTCGTGAGACAAGTTACACCTAGGCCATATTTGTTTAGGTGGACATGAGCTTGGCATTAGATTAATAGTCCAATAAAATTATTAATCCGATATTTGGTTAAATAATTGAAATACGAACTAACAATCTATCCGGATATGGTATCCCACATATAATGGACTATTCAATCTCATAGAGGGGAGTGAGATATAAATTGGAGGATTTAGCCAAAGTCTGAATTATTAGTCCTTCCTTATAATCCGAACTCAATCCAAATATAGGATAAGATAGACGATCCAAAGGGATTCGTAATCCTAAGACTATTAGTCATAGGAATATTAATCCAACATAATCCAGTCCGTCCAAATAAACATGACTCTATTGGTATAACGCCAACTGAGACAAAAGGGTAGCCTAGTGGTTGGGAGCTGCTTTAGGCACGGGGATTGGTTTCCCCTTCTCTATTTATATGAACTCATTAGTTGTTTGTTTTTTTAAATTTGTGTGTTGATTAGTTAATTATAATACAAGTTGGCAATGTACACACTTTGCCAGCCATAGAAGCAAGTGAGTTGTACAAGTTTTTTGAAACACTATTTATAACCTTTCAAATGACTACTGCTCCACTGCACTTTTGACACCCATGTTCTAACAGAGACCATAATAAACTAAAATGATTAACAAATGAAGTCAACAGTCTAAAGTAAAACCATCATGGTACGCAGGCCCGGTCCTGAAATTTCTAGGGTCCAAAGCCGATAATTAACTAATAAATTTCTGGGAGTCTTCATATTTTTTTTTTCATTGAATGAAAAAAAAAAATTTAAAGTAAAGAACAAAAGATTTGTGTCAAAATCACAAAAAATACTTAACATTACATTACAATAACTAATAAGTATCTCTTGATCCTTACTCTTCTTGTATTTTAGGAAGCAAATAAATCAATCATACTTGCATAATCTAATTTTTTTGCAAAATTATTGTCAATGAATAACAGTGCTAATTATTTTAAATGGGTCTTTCAATTTTTTAATGGATCAATTTATTTTAAGTTAATTTGGGCCTGCCTTAATTTTTTTTTTTTTGACTTAAAATATACTTAATATATTAGACTAAACTATAATAAGAGAGACCTCTTTTTTGGGTCTATTTTCAATGGATAACAATGCTAATTTTTTTGAATGGCCTTTCAATTTTTTAATGGGTCAATTTATTTTAAGTTAGTATGAACCTTTTTTTAATTTTTTTAGACTTAAAATATACCTAATTTATTACACTAAATTATAATAAGAGGAGGCCCCTTTTTTTAGTCTATTTTGAGGGGCCCTAGGCCATGGCCTTGTGCCCTATGCCCCAGGGCCGGGCCTGATGGTACACTTAATGCCTACTAAGGCTTCGTTTGGGAAATAGATTAGCTTTTTGACTTCTTGTTTATTTTAGCCTGGGACTAAAAAGCCTTATTTGAGGACTTTTTAATTTTTTTGACTTTTTGTGAGAGAAATAATGTAATGATTATGAATTTGATGTGATATTAAGTTAAAAACTTTATTTTGTCTTTTTATTGCTAAAATAACCCCAAACCCAACCCAACCCAACTTCCCAAATGAGCTATATATATATATATATAGCTCATGAGTACAAGCACAAAAGCTGATCAAAGTCTATTAATGCTCACCCATCATCCCCTATAGAAATAGGATTACAAACCTAGCTATAACATTCACAATTCCAATTAATTAACAAGGGCACTGCCATTTGTGTCATGCCATTTTAACTACCATATTAGTGGAAATATCATTGGGATAGTAATAAAATAATTTCAATTTTATGATAATCTTTTTGAATACAAGTCATTTTTATATGTTATTTTTGTATATGATACAAGTTTTTTTTATATTCAAGACTTGCTTCAAAAAAATTCACTATTAGAATAATATTATTTCATGACCGTCCAACTCATTTATTATTTCATTTTTATATTACAGTTTGTTTGGGGTGTCCTAAATAAGTGTACTTTTTGTCTTTTTAGACTAAAAAATTGAGGTTGAAAATAT